TACCCTTGTTTTTTGCATGGCAGTGGCTGTTTTTTTCCCTTTTTATTTTTCCATGAATGTCATTCATAACCTAGGCCAAAGTGAATGGGGGTACTGCTAGGGATGTCTAGCTCACAAACATGCTGCCTTTCCTGATCTTTCCACTTGGAATGGATTCAATCTAAACTAGCAGGGCAACTGCCATGATGTTACAAATAAGATGCCTGCACTGAATGAAATGCAGCTTGAGAAATATATGCATGCCTCTTTTCAACTTCAGCCAGAAATACTATCGCTTCTTTGCAGGGAGGATTTAATTTCCCTTTGAGATAAAAATAACATGATGGTGTATTTAATACTCTTTTAATAGTATTAAAACTATACTAACAGCACTGCTTCTGTCTCTAGGATCTGCATGCAGCCACTGTGAACCCAGACCCAAGTCTGAAAGAGTTTGAAGGAGCAACATTACGCTATGCCTCTTTGAAGCTCAGGTACAGTAACTCCAGAAGTCTCAGTGGAGTGACCAGCTCTGTTTTCTATTGTGCTGTGATTTTCATATGATTTTAAGACTGAGTTTGCCTTTTTTTTCTTTTTTTCCCCTCAAACAGAAATGGTCCTCAATCTGATGATGATGATTCCTGTAGCATCAACAGTGATCCAGAAGCCAAGGTCTGTAAGAAAATCTGCAATGGGATAACAATTAAAAATTTTGCAGTTGTAAATATAAACTTGCAGAATGTCTCCTAAGTTTTGAAATTAACTGTACCCCTCCTCTTGGTACGATGTGGATTGACCATGCACAACTAATTCCATCAAAGGAATTCACAGATTTAAAGCTTTATACAGTTTGGTCAGGAAAGTGAGACTTACTTTAAATTCAAAGCCAAGAAATTGGATTTTAGAACTCAGGATTCTACTGTCCAACTGTAATAACTGTCTTCTTGCACAACTAAGTGAGTTTTCTGTTCTGAGTGAGAGAGGGCTCTGTTGCTTGTCATGGCTGGATAGCTTCCTGGGGCATTCAGTGACAAAATTTGCTCTTTTAATTTCAAGTTTGTCCCTTTTTTCTCTTCCTTTTTTATGTGTCTGCTTCAACTCACACCTAGTAACAAGGAAGTTACTTTTTAGAACAAGAAACTTTGTATTTTAGAAGAGACGATGCAACCTACTTTGAGATTGCAATTCATAAAGAAAAATTAGATCATTATGTGACCAAGCACCATAATTAGATCAGAGCCTTTACTGTTGTAATCTAAGGGTTTTGAGGAGAAAAAAGCTGCAGAAGCTTTTGAATGCTTGCATATATATCTCAAGACAAAATTTGTCTTGTTGGTAGTTCTGCCTTGTGCTTGCATCCCTTTTTAAGGATGTATGTGAATCTCTGTAATTGGAAATCTAGGTAATTTAAATAAGTGTTTTGGCTGTGCCATACACCTGCAGTGACTGACAGAATCAGAAGCTACTTATTTGCAGGAAGACAGTAGGTAACAGAGTTAATAATTATAATAGCATTAATGATATATTTTAAGAGAGAAAACAGACTGATCAGGGCACATAATTTTCTTTGTCATCTTGATTATTTGGCTTGTGATGTTTAAATTGGTTGTAAATAAATGTGTTTTGCTTGGCAGGCTGGTAGTTAAAAAGGCAGGGGTTTCAGCTGTGCTTATTACAATGGCAGGCACTAAATTCCAAGTATGGTAAATGGAGCTGGAGGAGTGACGAGTGTTGGGTGCCAGTCCTCAGAACCATAGAATTCTTCCTTTCATGATAAGCCTTAGGGTATCAGAAAGATTATAGGCAGGCAATATTTTAATATATCTGTGACTCTTTACCAGCTGATTTGCAGTGAGTATTTTTAGAGCCCTTCCTTCATGCAGGATCGTGGCAGTTGTTTTGTGAACAAATAACTTGTTCACTTGTTCATCATCTCCCTTCCCTCTCTGGCTTGCTGTTTAAACTTCAGTTTTTATGGAACAGATACTTATCTGGTGTCTGTGAAATGGGTCAGTGCCAGAAATCGTCTATCACAGCTGTTTTTGTTTCTCTGGTTTAGGCAAGACCATGCTGATAATGCTCAAGTGGGTAATCAAAACTGAGCACTGAAAGATTCATAGAAGTGACTGAGAGGAGCAAGACAAGAAATAGAGGAGAAACTATACGTGTTTTTGGCTTTTTTTTAAATCACTTGAGTCAAAGCACCTTAGCTGCTTTCTGCCTGATGTGGGTGTTATGCATGGGCAGTAGCTGACCATGTCCTGCAGGTGAAGCTCAGCAGCACTGATGTTTGCTGTGCAGTAGGAGAGGCTGAGGGCAAAGCTGTTTAGTGCATCTGCCTATCTCTACCCCAAGGACAGGACAAACATGGCCATGTGTCACAGGGACGGGAAGTGGTCCAGAAACAGCAGGGAAAATCTTCACCTGTGGAAAATGCTCTGGGGTCTTTAATTCTCACATGGGTGGGAAGGGAGTGGGGTGGGTTGATTCCTTGCTAGTCCCATTTTAACCCAAATATTGAGAGACTGAAAGAAGTCATAGTATTTGAAACTGATGATTTGGAAAAATCAGGGGGTTTTTTTTAGCCCTTTAGTCTCTCCCCTGCCGTATTTGGTGCCTTAACTCTCTTAGACTGAAGCTTGCTTTTGTGTGGTGAAAAGCATAGATTCTTTTTCTTCATTTCAGCATAAGAGAAAGCAGCTTTTTTTCAACTCATTAAACTATCTAGTGGGAGAATTTGTTAAATTGAGCCTTGTTAGAGATCTAAAACGTATTTAAACTGATTCATGACATTGGCCAATACTTTTTTTTTTTTGGGGGGGGGGGAGATTAGGGATAAAAAATTTCTCCTTGGCAGAGTAATGCTGTATTTCAGCAAAGGGAACTGTGCCACCTTGTGGAAAGCCGTAGTAGTTGTCTTCACCCAGAGTGTCAACTTCTGCAAAGATAGTAGCACTGCAAAAGCATCAGCATGGGAAAAGCATGTCATATAATTCATCTAATTCTTATAAGAAAAATTATTTATGCAGCAACACAGTTAAGCATTCAAAATTCTCAGTAAAGAACAAATGTTTTTCTAGACATGCTGTGTTTAAGATGCAGTTCATAGTTTCATATCCTGGGCATCTGGTCAGGTTGTCTGCACAAGGTCATAAAGGAGAAACAGAAAGAGGAGAATTATTACATCCAACATCTTGATTTCAGTAACTCATTTTGATAGGAATTTCTTGGAAGAGATGGCTCATTGCACTTGACAGGGATCCTAATTCTGCATGTAAAACATGCACAACTAGAAATGAGTTTTGAATTGGTACTTCCCAGGAGACAGATCGTAACCTTCCTAGTTAATTTATAGAGCAATGTGTGCCTTCCTAATTGAGTTTCAAGGAAGGTAAAAAGATGCTCTTACCAATCCCGGACTGTAAATTCCTCTGTGTTGTCTTTTTTTCATTGTTGTAAAATATGATGGCTGTGTGTAGAAGTATAGAAAGGTGCTAAATTTTTTCCTCATGGTCATGTGTGGAAACTGAACCTCCTGAGAAACCTGTCACTGTCCCTAGGAAGGGGATGAAAACTGGAAAGCCCGTGTGACTCATTTTCTGAAGCCTTTTCAGAATTGGCCTGTTTGGCCTGATATTTGGACATGTCTTTATTCTCTTCTTTTTGTGTCAAGCATGGATTTTTGAGTTACCTGACCATGTTAGCCTGTTCAGCAGTTTCACTTTTCCAGCCTTGCCATATGGTTTCAGCTATGGGCCAGTGTCTAAGAATGGGAACAATGTATTTGCACCTATTTGGGAATAGTAAGCATTTGCACCAAGAGTCTGTTTTCTACTTCAGAAACCAATAAATGCTCAGGATCTCAAGGAAGAGAAGGAGGCTGTTTTCAAGAGGGATAGTGTCAGGAGATGCTGATCCCAGGCAGTTTAATTCAGAGATTGACCTGTAGGTGAATGAAAACACAACTGGAGACATAGAAAGTGAGTTGGTGATGAACTCCAGTGGACTACCTGAGCCTTATGGTTTAATGAGTTGGACTTTTTGGAGTAATGTGAGGGATGTTTTTGACAAGCTGACTTGTGACTGTTATTAAGTGGCCCGTAAATAGCACAATGGAAATAATTTTACAAAATTCTATGTGCCCCCCAAGGATGTAATATCCATAGCTGCTTTTCTTGCTACGTAGGCAAATGTACGTGTTTTGGAGGCATTCTGTGTTTGCTTCTTTCTGGTTATTTCCAGAAGTAAATATCCTGTCTAGACATAGGATCATTTGTAAATTATCAGCTTGGGAATGGACGTGAATCTCATTTCTGATGCAAATGAAGACTTAACCAGAGAGGAGTTTTTGCCATGTCTAGTAATTCCAAGAGAGAATTCTTTTCACAGTGAAGTACATAATTTTCTCTCAGAGTCACAGTAGCTTCTAAAATTGTTGATGCAAACAGGGAGTATTCAGCATTTTCAGGCAGTTTCACCATCAACCTCAGGCTGCATATAGTCTTCTCATGAGCAGATGAAATGCTGAAGAAAGCCTCAATTCAATTAATGGACTCAAGTAAGGTAATTAAATCTGAGGAGGTTATTCCATCTTAAGTCTCTTTACAAAAGTAGATTTAATCTAAAAGAGAAATAGGGTATCTTCAGCATTTTTTCTTCCGAAATGTTATTTCTGCTTGGATTTTGGAATAGGAATTCGTGTCTTTCAAAAGCC